ACCCTCCACGAGTTTGGTCCTCACGGATTTGTCTGCGACGTCTCCTACAACCGTGATGAACCTCTCTGGGTGCTGCCCGCCGCTCACCTTCTGGCATTTCTCCAGAACGTTCTGTAGCCTGCCGCTGTCTCGCCCGTGTAGAGTGACGCTGGCTCCTTGTTGAGCCAACAGTACGGCCGTGGACTAGCCTATGCCCGAGCTAGACCCCGTCACGATCACAGATTTCCCCGCGAATTGTAGGCTGCTGGCAGACGACATCGTGTGTGCGTGACCTGGTCCTGTGGATAAGCGGGTGGGGCGGGGGTGGGGGTAGTGGGGGTGAGGAGTGGTTTGGGATGGTGGTTGTGATGGGGGTTGGGGGTGGGGGGTAGTGTTTAGTTGTTGATGTTTTTGTGTGGGGTTTTTTGTTTTTTTTAAAATAAGAGTTGAACGGCTCTTGGGAACACTATCGCCGTCAAATACACCCGTAGACGTAGGCCTTATAAATCTAAATTCATGCAGTTTAAATTTCAGCAGTGTGCACAACACTCACAACTGTTTCGTTTCGACATGAATACCCTGTTCACCCCCTTCGGGCCACTGTCATAAACAGTCACAAGCACTGATTATGACGTAAGCTAACAACTGGTTTGGTAGAGTCTACCTAAAAAGAGGTGAGGGAGTTAACTCCTCATAATTTTATTGCTGCTGCGAATGCTTGCTTTTTTCCCCCCTCGATTTTGTACATGTACCCCTCTGTAATCATGTCATGGCCAACAAAAGCTAGACAAAGGCAGCCACAATATTGAAACCAAATGTGAGGCATCGTGGTGGAATCAGGCTCTCGTCAATATTTGGGCATGTAGAGTTATTGGTATCATCTTAAAGCTTGTTCACTTGTCTTTACTTGGATGAAAAAAATATTCATTTATCTTAAATACAAGTCGGGATATTTGCGAATGAAGGAGGTGGGGGTCACCTGTTTTCAGAGGTGAAATTATTGAGAGAATAGCCGTCAAAGATTAGAAATTTCCTTAGTATAAGAGTCTGAGGTAACTGAAAATGTACATTTTTTGTGTCTTTAATCAACGTTTTTCAGAAAAATCCACACAGAAATGAGTTCTTAAATGGGCATGAAAGGTGTTGAGCCAAAAAACAAAAATTCGATAAGAAAATCTCAAACCTGCGGAAAAATGCTAGTTTCTTCACTTTGATTATTTTGACGAGAGCCTGATTCCCCCACGCTGCCTCACATATAATTACTGATAGCTTACATAGTTTGTTGTACGTGTGCTGTCCCGTCTGCTTCTATGCCCTCTGTTTGTGTATTCATTCACATCTTTTAGACAAGTTCATTGTTGAAAAATCTGAGATCATCATTCACACCGTGATTTAAAAAGTTATAGAGTCTACATGTTATTACGTTCTGCTCAAATGAGACATTCTCTAGAATATTTTAGCAGGTGAACATAAATTCAGGATTTTTTTTTCATTCTCTAATTAGTGATGCCGCCTCGAATAAGAAGTCACATTAACCCTATCGGTACACCTTGGGGTCATTTTGTACCCCAGGGGTTGTATTCTTTACATTTTAGAATATATCTACTTCTAGTACGGAGATCTCTTTGAAACTTTCAGTATTACTCAAAAAAACATTATGACAGACTGCTATGCAAAGCGTACGGATCGGATTAACGAGTAAATTTCCTTTTTGGAAAGTGGTGGCACAGAGTTCTCCACGATGTATGGATACGATAGTAAAACACGACGTACGGATAGAAGGCTTAATTAATAATTCCGTTCCTATTATGGGAACATTTTTCGTGTGTTGGCCTCATTTCTGAATTCTATCTGGCTCTTTGTCTCGCTTTGAGTGAGTACCCTTTCCAACAAGTCAGCACTCACCCCTGGTAGTAGTATGATGAGCATGATGATCTTCTAGAAGTTTTCCACAAGCTTAAGAGATGTGCTCACTTTATAAGACTGCGAATATTATTACGTCATTCTCAGTAAATTCGAAGCGTGTGACCTTTACTTCTATAGGAGATAAAATTCCATCTCAGGAGAAATGAGTAATAATAATAATAATGAACAGCATAATATTTTGTTTGACACATACCCACGCTCGACAGCAAGCTCTATCCACTTTATACATGTACTATAATATTATTCTGTCCCCAGGGCTTTATGCACCCCGCATAATTTACCAAAATTCGATCATTTTTTGCCTTATTTCTGATTATTTTCCTTTACCATTCTTTTTTAAAATTAACAGAATCGCATAATTTCACTTTTTGTTGGGCTCAGTTTGAATAATTTCAGAATTATTTTTTTCCCATAAAACCGAGGGGACAGATTATTTCCCCAGCAGACCCTATACTACTTACCCCAGCATACCTTATACACAACTCAGAAATATTCTCGCCTTTCCATGGTGAAAATAGTGAAATGGTATGGGTTTAACGCCCCTATCAATACTATTAGGTTATTTCAGGGGCGGGACCTCCTAGGTTAACGTCCGTCTCCGATAGGACCGAGCCAAGTGGGAAGTTCGTGTAAAGTGCCTTTCCCAAGGACACAACGTCGGACCGAGCTGAGGCTCGAACCCCCGAACCACCAATCTCACGATTACGAGTCCGGTAGCCTAACCACTAGGCTACCGACGGCTCGCCTTTCCAGGAAGTAAACTACATTCATTAGGATTCATCGTAATGTATTCACAACTTCAAAGCCACAACTGCCTTTTCTTTCCTCAACCTTACTATCGTCATTATTTTTTCCTCTACTGCTTTTGTATGTTTGTTACTCTCTTGTGACCCGCTACTTCCGGGACGCCTTGAAAGTCGAAGCAGACTCTGTGCTGTTGAGGCTAGAGAGGTGAGCAGAGTAAGCCTGCTTCCCCGTTTGGACTTCTCTGTTGACACCCCCCCCCCCTCCTCAAAGCGCTCATATGACGTATGCAGTTGCGAGCACCTTAAAACCTTACTAAAACTAAAACTAAAAGTCAGAATCCTCCATCATACCGTACCTGGAAATTCTCGAAGTCCCTGGAGGTAAGCAGAAAAAGGACCAGCCAAAGAATGTACCTACAATTTATTACGTTGTCGGTTTTTCCCGGAAACTTTTCTAACGTAGTGTGCGCGTCTAAGTCGTGGTGTGAGCAGCGATGAGCTGGGAAGTTATGAGAAGATCTGCCTCTCTGGGAAGATTATATATACGACGAAAACAAACGGTC